AAATCTGTACTGTTCAGGGTTGTTAAAGTAGGGATGAAAAAACTGTACTGTTCAGGGTTGTTAAAGTAGGGATGAAAAAATTGTACTGTGCAGGGTTGCTAAAGTAGGGATGAAAAAACTGTACTGTTCAGGGTTGTTAAAGTAGGGAAAAAACTGTACTGTTCAGGGTTGCTAAAGTAGGGATGAAAAAACTGTACCGTTCAGGGTTGTTAAAGTAGGGATGAAAAAACTGTACTGTTCAGGGTTGTTAAAGTAGGGATGAAAAATCTGTACTGTACAGGGTTGTTAAAGTAGGGATGAAAAATCGGTACTGTTCAGGGTTGTTAAAGTAGGGGAAAAAAACTGTACTGTTCATGTTTGTTAAAGTAGGTAAAAAAAACTGTACTGTTCAGGGTTGTTAAAGTAGGGGGAAAAAACTGTACTGTTCAGGGTTGTTAAAGTAGGGAAAAACTGTACTGTTCAGGGTTGTTAAAGTAGGGAAAAAACTGTACTGTTCAGGGTTGCTAAAGTAGGGATGAAAAATCTGTACTGTACATGGTTGTTAAAGTAGGGATGAAAAATCTGTACTGTTCAGGGTTGTTAAAGTAGGAATGAAAAAACTGAACTGTTCAGGGTTGTTAAGGTAGGAATGAAAAACTGTACTGTTCAGGGTTGTTAAAGTAGGGATGAAAAATCTGTACTGTACAGGATTGTTAAAGTAAGGATGAAAAATCTGTACTGTACAGGGTTGTTAAAGTAGGGATGAAAGATCTGTACTGTACAGGGTTATTAAAGTAGGGATGAAAAAACTGTACTGTTCAGGGTTGCTGAAGTAGGGATGACAAATCTGTACTGTACAGGGTTGTTAAAGTAGGAATGAAAAACTGTACTGTTCAGGGTTGTTAAAGTAGGGATGAAAAAACTGTACTGTTCAGGGTTGCTGAAGTAGGGATGACAAATCTGTACTGTTCAGGGTTATTAAAGGAGGAATGAAAAAACTGACTGTACAGGGTTGTTAAAGTAGGAATGAAAGATCTGTACTGTACAGGGTTATTAAAGTAGGGATGAAAAAACTGTACTGTTCAGGGTTGCTGAAGTAGGGATGACAAATCTGTACTGTACAGGGTTGTTAAAGTAGGGATGAAAAAACTGTACTGTTCAGGGTTGTTAAAGTAGGGATAAAAGATCTGTACTGTTGTTTTGTGGAGTTAAGGTTCTGGATCCAAACAGAAATTTATCTCCGAAATATAAATCCGTATATAGTGCTAATTATTTTGATATCTCCCGTAAAGTGCAGTACACCTTAGAACTGGTTTATATTTATAAACATCAGAGCCCAAAACTTAAGACAGGGTATCGTTCTGAAAACTAGTTCTAAAACCCGGGTTTCACGGGTTAGGCAGTTTTAAGAATATTAATATTTTTGTTATGAAATATTATTTTATTTAGTTTGTTTATATTTTTTTTGATTCTCTTAAATCAAAATCTACACAAATGTTAAGACCCCAAGAAGGAAACTCGGGAGTTTTGTTCAACGATACTCTTTTAAATTTCGGGCTCAGTTGTCATTACATAGTACAAACCCCGGTAAATTCAAGTTATTACATATAGATTTACGTTCCGATCCGTTGAAAATGGTATAAAATGTTAGAATGAAGAACGGTTTGATTTAAGACCGGAATCTCATCGGATATTGTAGAGATACTTGAGGTATAAAATTTAAGGGTATAATATAGATTTACAGTACGAGAACTTGAATGGTTATATTTTTGATACTCCCCCGTCATATGTCTTCTTCCTACTAGCAGAGAGACGGGCCTACAGGAAAA